AAAGTAACATTAGGAAAGCATTTAATATATTTTTAAGGTTCTTAATATACTGTGACAACTGGAAGCAGATGTCATTGGACTACCTGTCATTCACAGACCCTACTTCAGGAGGTGTGGCATTATCTTATTTGTAAGTATCAATAAAAATATTTCTCTCTCCATTTTATTACCACTTACTTTTGTAAGAATAATACTGCCTTGAGCATCCCTAAAAACAAATCCAGCTGATCTAATGGTATACCTTTTCAGCAGTCATTCACATTCTCGCCATCTATTAAGCTGTTTTCCTTCCTCAGTCTAAACATACTAACACCCTGAGACAGGGCCGTAACATCTAACAATAAAATAACAATCTTCGCAAAATAAAAAACAAATGAGTTGTCTGAATATTTATTTTCTCTGAATACAATACTATCAGGATTAATTTGTGTAGTTATATACGTTCTCTAAAAAACTGATAATTAAAACTGTCTCTCCATGAAGTAAAGTGACAACCCTCTATTTTGTGCTTCTATACTATTTGAATGACAATAGAAATATCAGGATACCTAATAAAAAAGTAAAAGAAAAAAAGAAAGAAATTCAGAATCACTATTTCTAAATCACATATAGAATCTTTTTTTTATAAAGTTCTGAATGACACCATCCCCTTCTCCTCAGCTCCCACTACAAAATCCTCGGGTCATGCCATGTTTCCCTTGCCTGGTTTCCATAACCTCTTTTTCTCTGACTCATCTCATTAGCTTTTCCAACATTCAGTAGATAAAATTACCTAACCTCTCTGCTGTTTTTACCCAGACATGCCATTCATGACTCCACGCTGCGGTTTTTCTCTCTCCAAAGAAAAATCAAATATCATGTTCTCATTCTTACAGCACTGGATTGCTCAGCATCTGCCAAACTGTGACCCCTTTGCTCCTGTCAGTCCTCTCCTACCCTTTTGTGTCTTCATTCCCTTCTTGCTCCCTTTGTCTCTCCCTCCCACCTTTGTTTTTCTACATATTTTCCTTGCTACCTGGAACAACATTTCTAATTCTTCCAATTCAGTGATCATTCTTGTTTTCCTGTGTCTAATCACTCCCCAAAGTCACTGTTAGTATGATTATCATGACTGACTTCCATTCAAGTATATTTTATATGAGCCATGCCCAAGTCTCCGAAGTCATCACAGACCCCTAACCAGTGTCCTGAATCAATAAAAGCTGGAAAAAGGAACATGGCATCAAGTTCCAAAACTAGTATAGAAAAAACATTATTCATAAGAATCAGATGGATAAAGACATTTTGCACTCAGTTTCACTAAACAAATATATTTTTGTTGCCAAATTAAAATATATGGCACAGGGCCCAAACAGGATTTTATGTTTATTTGTTCAGGGCGGGGGGTTGTTTTTTGTTACAGAAAACAGCCTTATGTTTAACAAATAGACTGATAAGCATCAAACGATTTTAAATTAGCTTGCTGTCCCAGTCTTTCAGAAGTAAAATGGCATTCCAGAATTTTCTCTTAGTAGTTGATATTACTACTGTATTTTTAATTCCAAATATACAGGACTGTTTACACTGACATCTTTGAGAAATCTCTGACAGTGACCGCATATTATTAAATGTCCCAGTAATTTCCAGTCAGCACACAAATATTACAGAATAGTTATTTCAGAAATACTGAAATCATGTCACCCAAATCAAAACTGATAAACAGTGAACTGAGACTTTTTAAAACAATCCTCTTTCCAGGGAATTCTGTCAAAATCATCAAATATCTGTAAATGGCCTTTTCATGAAAAAAAAATTATGGTGACATTAAAATTTTCTTAAAAAAATGGAAACCATCCACACCCATTGGGTACAGGGTTCAAACAAGGAGAAAGTGATGTTGGAAAGCATACACATATACATAAAAAAAAATTCCAGCCATTTAAGTTGATCTAATAAAATGCATCATATTCACCCAAAGAACCTTGTCTACACATATACATATGTTTTCCAAGGTCAGTTTTATAGAAATATTTCCTATGTTGATGGAAATGAGTAGCTTAATATTTTGTTTCAATAGAAAAATAAAAAAAAGATTACCTTTGTATTTCACGGTAAGCATATGAATAGCTAAACAGAATTCTGTGACCTAGGACAGTGTTTAAATGTTGCCCTAGGGTAAGAGAAGCCCAGAGAAACTCTTAAATTAGATTCTGTTCATATGTCTTTCTGCTTTTTGCCAAAAAATGTCTTGGGCATCCCCTCTTTTGAAGTCTTTTACATTGGAAGACACACTTCCATTTCAACTGATTCCCCCTTCCTGTGCTGTCATGTCTGTAACAATCAGTTCTCTGAAGCTCAGGTTACTTTCCAGTGGCACAGTGCCAGAGGCTGTAACACTAGGTAATATCAAGATAATGAAATACCACTTTTGTCTGCCTTGCTTCAACATATAAGTTAGGAGTTCAAGAAGTTGTTTTTTAATTATAATTTTAATTTCAGACTTTGCTTCATATGGCCATTTAGACATGGTAGTTCTTCAAACAAAATTCAGCAAAGAAAATGTGTTATTCATGAAGCACAGTGAAAAGGGGCTTAAGTAAACCTACAGAGACAGAGACTTGAACAAAGTAAATGTGAAAAAAATATTTATACAACAGTTACCAAATTCAGAAAAATACTTACAAGGGCAGAAGCTTACAGTGACACTAGTTTTCTGTCTTGGAACAAGAACGCCAGTGCATAGACTAAATTTAAAAACACCATCCTCAACAGCTTTGCCTGCACTCTCAAGATCTAATTTCCATGTCAGCTGTTGCCTTGAGGTATTCTTTAGGCCAAGCTTCTGTCAAGAGTTGTAGAGAAACAAAGACATTATGCAAGATGATGGAAAACAATAACCATTATGATATTTTTCACATAGTCTTACATTAAGCTTTTTCTATTGCAAACAGGTCAGGCTACTATATGAATTGTTCTTTTCAACAGATAAGAATCAACTGACTCAACATTTCCCAGAAAGCACTACAAAGCAATAAAGTAAGAATTGTTTGTTGATGTATGGCAAGAAAAAAAGCATGTCTATTGGTTAACAGAGAGCACATTTACCAGTCACTTTACACAAAAATCAGTTTTCCCTGCTGGGAGGAAAACCCAGTTCATATTATCAAATCCCAAATAGGATACTGACTTCTGCAGTACTTAAGAGTAACCTAGATAAGGGCTGTCCAACTTCTGAGACATTGTGAGCTGCATGCCACATAGGCCACAGGCCCTCCTGGGCCACAAGCCACATGGGGCCACATCCTGCTTCACAGATGGCATGGACTCCCAGAGCCCCCCTGCTTCACAGGATGCATAGACTTCTCCAGCCCCCTTGCCGCAAAGACTACTCAGACTCCTAGGTCCTCCAAGCTGCACAAGCTCCCCCACCACACAGGCTGTGCAGGCTCCTCAGGCTCCCCCCGTTATGTGGGCTCTCGCCAGGATCAAAATGTGCAAACTCTCCAGGCGTCTCTGCTACATGGGCTCCACAAATTCCACTATTCCACCCACAGGAACAGGGGCAAGAAGAGAAAGCTGGAGAAGGAAGAGGGCAGCTTGGAGACATGGGCAGCAGCAGAAGGAGCAGTAAGGGGAGTGGAGCCCAGGAAGGAGCCCACAGGCTCCAAGATAACTCACATGGGCCCCACAGGTCATGTATTGGACAACCCTGACCTAGAGTACTAGGTCAACCACAAGGGGTTCAGAATAACTGAATTGCTAACTCTCTGTCTCTCTCATCTATGAAACTTGGGCCAGTATGAGATCAATACTGTACATTAACTCCTGTAATGTTAATACTGGTGGGGGGTGGAGATAATGAGGCAAACCCATTTTTTCCAGTGAAACACTGCAAGATACAAATGTACTACCTGTGGGATTTGGAACTACAATTACCAGCGATACTATATACACTGATCCTTTAGATATATTTGTTGAGACTATGAAAGTTGTTAACTTCCTCTTTCATCTATATATTGCCCGCAGGCAAAGGAGGTTTATACCTTCCTACCTCAACAAATTCTGATGAAGATATGTGAAGAGGTTTCGATGAAAGAACTAAGAATAAGGTGTGCCACTGCTGTGATAAGAAAAGCTCTTGTACATAAATATCAGTATATGTTATATTCCACAGCCAAAAGCATACAGGAAAAAATGGTATAAATGGTTCCCTGAGAGCACACTATACCTACATCCTAAGAGTAGTCAAAGGAGAAACAAGAGAAGAGACAGCATTTCAGAAGCATCACAGTCAGTTCACAATGCAATCCCAGATTAAAGTTGTGTCCCTAATGAAAGCTAATCCTGACCATCTCAGAGAATATCCATTAGAAAGGAGCTTACTCCATAGATTTCTATTACATCACACTTATTTGCTGTCAGTTCATACTGTCATAAGGAAAAAATGGGAAAGATATAATGAAGATGACATCTGGTGAAATGAGCATAGAGGGAAGTCCTTCCATTTTCTGCTTCTCTTTGGTTTTATAACACTCTTCCCATAGACAGATTCAGGGTACCTCCTAGGAGATAATTTTTCAATTATCTGTTTAGAATACCTATGAAAAAGACAATTGTGGTCATTTCTTCCAAGACTCCAGAGGAACACCCTCAAGAAACTTGCAAAAGAATTAACCAAGTCTGCATGGAATATAGCTCCCAAAAGCAATAAGTATTGATGTGCCTATTTTGGTTCTGATCTGGTATTCTTACATCTCCAGATGCCTGAGAAAATAAGTAAGTCCAGCACTGATCTCTAACAAGTACTTAAGATTACCTCTTCTCTAAATTTGAATTAACCAAAGAGGTCATTATTTGAGGCATTCTATTACAGCATGGACAATTTTAAAACTTTGAATGATTTTCTGGTTCCAAAATAATAGAATTCTAAGAACACTATTTAAAAAATGGAAATTACTACATATAAACAAGATCCAAACTATCATTTACTAGAAATGTCAAAACATAAAACCCTACTAACTATGCAGTGAAGTATGAAGGAAATTATTTCACACCACTACCACCAGCAGAAACAAAGATGAAGAAGACTAAAGGGTAAAGGTTGGAACTTGTTAAACCACCCTTGGAACTTTGGATCTATGGATCAATGGGAACATGCCACCTAAATTGTCTTCCCTTGTTTCAAGAACCATGAAGCACAATATACAATACCCATGTCTGCAAAGGAACCAGATATGCAAAGGTCATTTCAAGAAGGAATACACATACACATTATATGCATGTGAAATCCCCTGAAAAAGACTTTCAGGGGAAAAAACTCAGACATCATCTATATATACTACACGTTATCACTGTGCATCTTTGAAAATCAAATATTACTCATGTATTGCAAAAGTCAGTTTCATGAATCAGAAAGTAAAACCAAGTGCAACTCAGAAATGGTGCAAAAGCTATAACATTTAGACATTAACATGAAACCCACAATAATAAAAACATTTAGGAATCTACTAAAAAAAACTTTGGAAAATATTTATGTAGTTATTTAAATTACAATTTGAGTTTCTACCTTGTACCTCAATTTTACAGTGAAGTAAAATAGATTCAGTCAAGAACAGTCATAAAAACAGTTGTGTTTATATACCTGAGTACTCTGACTTTCATCAACAATATCTAAATTTATATTTCTTGAATGAAGTGAAAATATAAGCTCTGCAGTGGAGAATTGCAATGGTGGCTTAAGTACTGTGGGAGAAAAAACAAACAAATAAGTTTATCCAGCATAATCCTGACAAATATTTCTACATCTTCTCTCATCAAAACCATGTTTTCACGTTACAGATTTTTAGGCTGACAGATTTCACCTTTATTTTAGAACTTAAGCTTTCCTTTCATTGCCAAAAAACTACAGGCAGATATAATATCATGTAGATTCCTACTGCATTGTGACCCCTTGGTAGAAAGAGGCATCTATATGACTTTATTTTTAAATTCACCAAAGCAACAGGTACCAAAAGGGAGGTGAAGTTAAAAACTGTTAAGCAATGAGACTCGTATCATCTTCCATTTATACCACAGACATTACAAACAGAGAAAAATGTATAAACTTCTTATTTTAGATTAATGCAAAGAGTGGCAGTTTATGTAGAAGTATTATAAAGACCCAAGAAAAATCTTTTAACAAGTGAAATGGAGTAGCTTCAGGAACATCTGTTTTAGGTATCATCAAAAATTACTTTTCCTTAATGATGGAAAATTCAAATAGTATTAGCGTCATTGTTTTCAAAATGGGTACTAAACATTTAACAAAACTATTAGTGCCTCCTTTACATTTTAATAGATTTTATTTATATTTATGACAATATATGTAGATTTTGCTATTCATCAGAGAATATTTATAGATCTATCATAATCATAGTTATTTTATTTAATATAGTCATTGCTTCTCCCTAGTGATAGAATAAAGGATGACAAAGGATTGAGAAGAAATTAAATATGTGCCCCACCACGATTCTTAGCTTTGCATTTGTACTAGACAAAACTGCCATAAGTAAACTAGTTAGGCCACAAGAAATTTTACTAAAATGTATGCACTGCTCTCACAGTGCAGCAAAGCCACTTGATTAGAACATTTTGTTCTCTCCAGAGAACACTAATGCCTAAGCTCATTTCTCATTTTAGATAGCCACCAACAATATTTTTTGTCATTAAAATAAATGGTGGACATCTGTCTGTAAGGGCAAGTATGCAACCTCCACAATAAATGGTATGTACAGATATTAACCTAGCTAGTGTACTCAGTACAAATATATAAATGGATTCTCTGGTGCACACAGAACCAGCTGGTGACGTGCTATGGTGCCAATGATAAGCCAGTGGTGTCGACAGCACAGCCTGAAAGCTTACTGGCTGATACTTCTGACATTTGGTTAATTTCCTTGAAAGAAAAGGTGCCTCTTGAATTTAAAAAGCTCTTAAATGTCTGGGGAAACTTCTCTGTTTAGGATATTTTATTCCAAATGGTATGACCTCTAAAACCTTCATCTCCATTAAGCTTCTCTTGGAATCACAAGAGTTTGATGCATATACATATTTACAAAAACAGCTATGTCCAGAAATCATTTGATAAGAAAGTAATCCATAATTAGACATAGCAAGATAATGCCACAGCTTGGAAAGAGTTATGGGACACCTGTTTATCACAGGGCTCCATAGGACATGTAAAGAAGAAGATTGATTCAAAAGACAAATCAAAAGGGAAGGGCATAGTACTGTGAATTCCAAGTAATGAGTTTGGCCTAAAAATACTTTGAGGGTTTGGCAGGACTGGAAGGGCTAGCAGGGTCTTCAGAGGGCTTGGAGGCATCCACAGGGCTATCAAGGTCCATGGGGAGTTGCAGGGTTCCAGAAGGGTTTGGCAGGATCAGGGAGCTAGCAGGGTCTATGCAGAGCTTGAGGGGAATTGAGGGGTTTGGCTCATGGAGTTGCTGGCTGGTCTGTGCAGGGGTTCTTCATCCGGGGGTGGGGCCAGGGGCCTAAGTGCCAGGGGGTTAAGGGGTACAAGTGCAGCCTCAGGGCTGGGGTCAGAAGCTGGTCTTCCCTAGTCCCAGGGCTGGGCTGGGCACATGTACAGAAATGCAGCTAGATTAGTCTCGCCAAACTATATCCAACTTAGACTACCTCCAAAGTAGGGTTAACTTGGATCATGTCGGCCATTTTTAGACCAATGTAACCTTCCTCAACTTCTGTATGGTTCACACTTAGATTGACCCTAAGTGTAAGGTCTGCACCTGGGCAAACTAAGTTACATCAGGTGGCTGTTTTTAATGCAATCTAACCTCCCCAAGCTTCCTGAATGTCTGTACCTAGCTTACAAGTAGCAATATTAATACTCAAAAATCTTCAGATGCACAGTAACACCAAAAGAACTAGCGATAGAGTAGGTGTCTTCTCTTTCCTCCTGATTGGTTGAGGTGGGATACTTGGCCCAGCATTTTTCATTATTTTTTGTTTGTTAAGTCCTTTTTTACTTTTAACAACAACATTTTTTAAAAGAGAAGAGTTTAAAGTAGTACTTAATTGTAAAATTTGCTTTCCTTTAAAGATTCATAGATTCATAGATTCATAGATTAAGGGTCGGAAGGGACCTAGTAGATCTTCTAGCCCGACCCCCCGCCAGGGCGGGAGAACAACAAAAACCCCAAAAAGAGAAATGGGACTCAAACGAGTCCAGCTAGGTGGGCATCCAGCCTCTTCTTAAAGACCCCCAGGGTAGGGGCCAGCACCACTTCCCTTGGAAG